AATAATTTTTCCTGAAGGACCACTGTGATCTTATAACTTCCCTTTATGTTAGACTTATAATTGTTTCCTACTGGTTCTGAATCAAATTCATACTCCCAAGCATGGACTTGGAAAGGCTCCACCCATTGGGAGCAAAATTTGATACCCTGGGGATCAGGGGGCAGCAAAATCAAGATCAGAAATCTCTTACTGGGCTCAAATTCTCTTTTCTAGTAGGGACAGAACACAGGTCTGCCTACTACTACACAAGCAGCTGCTGCCACCTCCTGTGCTCACCACTCACACCTGGGAACAGTGTCCCTCCCGCAGGATAAGGCCCCTTTCCTGTGGCCACTCTGCATAACTAAGATGACAAGTTGGTTGTGCATCTGCTGCTATGGTCACTTGTAAATTTGCATATTAGTAGGACCTCAATGGCCTGGTCACAGGGACCCTGACTGACAGAGGCATGGAAAACCTGAGCCCATCAGAAGGGAGCAATTTTTTTATGTTTCATTAAAAAAAAATTTAAACCTTATGATGTGAGAAATTAGTGGCCTAAAGTTTAAGACTAGCTGTGACCCCACTGCATTTAATTGCCCCTGCATCTTACACTCCAGTGTCATAGGTTTGGGGGGTCTGTTTCTGGATTTCTTGCTGTTGTGCATTAGTGACACATGTTACAATCTTCCACCCATACCTGGCTGGTGGCTCCTAACTTCACTCCAGGCAAAAACTCAAGGTCTGACAGTGATCCAGAGGCTATACAAGTTCTGATCCTCTTTCTTATTGGAATCTTTCTTCCCCTACTTAGGGGAGTGCTTTTTAAGGTGCTGAAAAAAATGTCAATAACAGAAATGACCCAGGTTTATGCCAAGGAAGAGACATTAAAATAGGAGCCCAGGTCATTTGGGTCATGAGGAGGGCCCCTCTCTATAATTACAATTCACTGTAATTATAGAAACACTAAGACAGAAACTTAACAAATGTAACAGAACTACATTTAACCTCTCAAAGTACACTGCCCTGAGGCTTGGAGGCCTCGTCTCCACCCCACTCCACCCAGAGCCTGGCAGGTGGCAGGAGTGGGATCAACACGGCCTGTGAATCATCCTGACAGGTGTGGGAGCAGGACTCTATAGAGTACAGGGGTAGAGCACAGCTTCTTTCTGGTTGGAGGGCAGGAGCACAGAGGAGTCAGACATGCCCTTGCTCCAGGAAGTGGCAGAAATGATTCAATATATCACATTTCTTTTCCTCCTGAGTCAGGGATCAACTGGTACAGGAACCCTGTGCTGAGTGCTCAG